AATTTGTTTGCTTGAAAAAAGAATTTCACCATAATAAAAATTAGTAACAAAAACTCTCTCCAAAATATCGTACAGAATTGGAAAGGAGTAAGTACGTCGGAAGGCATCCTGGCAAAAATCAAGTCTCCATGCTGAAAAAAAACTGAAAACCCAGTCCGACTCCTGTTTACAAATACTAATACAGTGTTCCACACCCTATAAATACACTGTGTTATTCTGAGTATCATTTTTAAGTCCAAAAGCAACCAAAAAAATGTGACATATTAAAACAAGTAAAAGATTCTGGTTAAAACAACCGCTCCCACAATAGCACACTACATATTAACATTCTGTTTCTGCTATTTAGCAAACATTTTTGGAAAATGTGCAATTAGGCTGTACTGTTTTTCTGATGAGGAAAATGTAAATTTATCAACTAATTCTATATAAGTACTCTCAAACTTTTTACATTTCCCTTTCTCTTTCAAAATTGTATAGAATACAAATGCATTTGCTGAAAATATTAACAATTACACTTTATACTTTAAAGAGGAATGCAGCTTAAGTCCCCCAGGTTAATTGAGCAATTGCAGTCACCCTCCACCATCAAGCAGCTGTTTGTGGCAGCTCCGCAAGCCGGGAACACTCAGTGCGTGTTCCCTAACAAAGACAGGCTCAGAAGACTCTCTAAGGCCTAGAGTGGAGCTGAAGACACGACACTAGGAGAGAGAAAGCAACTTGCCCCAAGAGGTCGGCCTGTCGGCTGTGGAGCTGCGGATGGAGCCGGAATCTTCAGCCATGGCCAGGTCTGCGCTCCGAGGGCCCGCGCAGCCGGTGAGGCACTGGAAGAGCCTGGCGGGTGAGCAGAGCAGCCCAGGAGGGGGCGGCAGCGGGTCCACCCCCTACACCAGTCACCAGGAGTTTCTGCTTTTGTGCTGTTTCTACTCAGTTTGTTCATGTGCTTTTTGAGAAGTTTTCGAGACTAAAAGGAAAATCACTGAAGACCACTGTCCCCACTCAAGCCTCACCCCGATGCTCTGGCTGATGTCTGCTGAACACCCGATCGCTGCGTCGAGCGCTGGGACAACCCCGACCTGCCATGTGGAGGTCCCACTGGCCAGGGGAACAAAAACACCAACAGAGATGAATAATTAAGATGACGGGAGCTGCCCCAGCACGGGCAGGAAATTGACTGTGGCCATCGCTCAGGACAGGGGCAGGTGGTCAGGATGGGAAGAGCAAAACCGTGCGGGCCTGAGGCGCCATTGGAGATCAGGGTGGGATGCAGGATGAGCGGGGGGACAGAGGCTCTGAGCTGGCGGAGGGGCCCAGTGCAGGGGTTGGGCAGATCACTGCTGTTGTGGGGGCAACCGCCAGCATTCAGGAGAAGGGAGCGGGAGGATGGCTGCAGAGACAGGGCCAAGACTCAGATCTGCGTGGAGAACACGCAGCTGAGTGGACAGAGTGGGGTCGGGGCAAAGCTGAGGCATGGGACTTGAGGAGGACATGGGGATGGAGGACAAGGACCAGTACCTGTGGGAGGCCCCCAGGGTGAGGCTGGCGAGAATGGAGTGTTCGTGAAGCAGCTGGAGCACTGGTGTCCCGTGGACCTGCCACCGTCCCCAAAGGCAGAGCCATGCGGTTCCCTGGCCTTCCTGTTGGCACAGGCCCTGTGCACAGGAGGAGGTGGGCTCTATGGGAGCTCCCTGAGAGTCTCCACACCCCAACTCCAGAAAGTGCAGTGGCCACAGAAGGAACGTCCACCTCTGAGGCTGCAGCAGGTGGAGGGATTCTGGCAGGCCTCTTGGCACAGAGCTTGACCAATGAAGGAAGGCACGAAAACCGGCTTCTGGGAGGTCGTGGCTCCATGCAAAGCCAGACCTGGGGGGTGAGAGGTTCCTTTTTCCAGAAGCAACCAGGCATCTTCCTTTCCTCATTTCTTCACAATTCCCCATCTCCCTCCAGCTCAACCTCACACTTCTGTTTGAATAACTTCCCACAGGCAGACCATTCCCTGGCTAAGCCTCTCTATAATGCTAGAATGTTCTTCCTCCTCTCCATCCAGAACCCGCTCGCTGCCCCCACCCATGGCCCTGCAGTGCCCCTCACGGAGACCGGCCCTAACCCTTCTTTCTGAGGGCACTCTGGCTATCAACGGGTGGCCACTATCAGCCCCTTTCTTCTGAAAAAGTGAAAGATGGCAAAAATAGCATTATCCAACTTCCTTAAAACCAAGCCACAGACTAAAACTCTACAGTGAGAACCTAAGCTATAAAATCATGATACATACCACAGAATAAAACCGTGGCATGAACTCAAACTCTCTCACTGGCACAGCTCACTGAACACAAAATATTTCTAAGTGAGTGATTTATTAATCACCCAAACTAGACAGGATGACCAGGTAGAGGCAGCCCAGCTGAGCAGGTTGCTCTCCAAGCCGACTCCTCAGTCCCTCCTCGGAACTTGGGGCGCATTCTCCCACAGAAACACTAGGCTGCTGGCCTCCGAGGCCCGCCGCAATGCGCTGAGTCTCCCACTGACCACAGCCTATAAAAAGATCTCTGTGCCAGCTGCAGTGGCTCACGCCTGTGATCCCAGCACTTTAGGAGGCTGAGGCGGGCAGATCACGAGGTCAAGGGATTGAGACCATCCTGGCCGACATAGTAAAACCCTGTCTCTACCAAAAATACAAAAATTACCTGGGCATGGTGGTGCATGCCTATGTCCCAGCTACTTAGGAGGCAGAGGCAGAAGAATCACTAGAACCCGGGAGGCGGAGGTTGCAGTGAGCCAAGAGAATGTGTCACTGCACTCCAGTCTGGGCAACAGAGGAAGACTCCGTTTCAAAAAAAAAAAAAAAAACCTCTGTACGGAAACACAGCCCAAGCTTCGCTGGGATATCCTATCTGCCGTGGAGGAGGGGGTTGGTGGTCGGCCCCTCTTTCTGCCTGAGACAGCAGAAGGGACAGGAGGGGCTGCAGGTGCCAGAGGTTCCAGGGCTAGAGCAGGGCCTCTCCAGGACCATGGGGTTGGGCGTGTGGAGTGGGCCTGGGGGTGGGTGGGAGCCGGGGCCCAGGGGGCCTCTCAGCCAGGGTTTCCCCCTCCCCAGGCCTGAGCCTGGCCACCTCACCTGCAGTCTACTGTGACCTGATCGATCTCCTCACTCTGCTGCGGTGCCCTACAGGTAACAACCGCAGAATGTGACACCGACCTAGAGTTCATGTGCATATTAAACAAGGTAACTGGTTCTTTTACAAGCAGAAAAGAAACTGAAGATGGAAAAATAATAAAAACACAATCGGTAACTAAATAAACACATCCAGCCTGCCCTGTGCTGTTCCTGAGATTCAGAATGTACTGATGACAGTGTCTTCTCCCTCCCGTCCCCTCCTCTGTGACTGGGGCACTCCATGGAGGGACAGGCCGGTCCCAGCGGCCCTGGGGCCTGCTGTGGGAAAGAGAAGAGGAGCAGGGGTGAAGAGCCCTGGCGGCAGGGGATCTCCATGCAGCCAGGACACACTTCCTCAGAACACACAGATCCCGCGTGGTGAGGAGCCAGGGGCTCCCCACACCTGGGAATTGCAGGTTTTTAAACAACTGAAAACAGACACATAATACAGCTCTCAGAGGTGCCTGCATCTACTGCTGACAGAAGAAAATTTTTGAAGGCAAATAAAACTTATTATATATGCGGAAACGAAACATATTAAGAAATCTTTCTTTTATAAATTGACTGCAGAAATGAATGTCTTCTGCAGAAGAGAGAAGTGGGAACACAGCAGAAAGAGAAAGCGTGAAGAGAACATCAGAACACTGCTCACTTTATCCTGGATTTGGTTCCGGGTCCTATTTGTTTTCATGAAGGAAGTTTATCTTCCCCCAGCTAAAGACTGATTAAATGACATGATTTTCATTGTACATAAACTAGGAAATATAATTCTTTTTATCCTGCAAAATCCCTCTCAACCACACAAGCGTCAGGATCCCTCTGGCCTTGGCTTAGGTGCTGGTAGGTGCGTAACCCAAGACAGGCTCCTCCTCACCTGCCCACGGAGCGGCTGGCCCGCGAGGACTCTGAGCTCTGCCCGCCCGCCTGGGGACGGCAGCCCTTTCTGAGGCCGAGGACTGAGGCCAGCAGCTTCAGGACCACATAAAGTTGACAGAAATGACCCTTGGTTTCTCTTTAATGCACAAATACGGTGGCCTCAAACCCACTGTCCCCTGGGCAGCTTCTGCGGCACGGCCCATCCCTGGCCCACAGCAACGCCAGGCGCACCTAATCCAGCTCTCAGGGACAGAAGCGCGGTCAAAGGCATGAGGTGACCACAAAACCAACCCGGGAGCCCGCAGACTGTCATGAGTGTCAGAAGAAAAGAGGAATATGTGGGAGGAACTCTCCTTACTTTGGAGAGTGTTTTAAATCACTGAACTAAAATGGTAAGGATTACATCAGAGAAATCTTCAGTGAAAGAAGACATTCCTGGCTACTTCCTTTTTCAGTCAGTCCCATGGAAAGAATTCCTGTGCACAAAATTCTTTAAACACAGAAAGTAAGTTTTTGATTTCTCTTCTTCCCATACTCTCGATTCATCTATTATACTTTTCCTGAGAAAACTGTGGGTCTCACCCAAATTTCCTGAATTGCTCAAATTCAGAAAGCACTTTGAAATCTTAACTCGCTGGTTTAAAAGCTGGTTATACAACAAGGGAAGAGCAAAACCCGTTTGAACTTGTCAGACACAGGCAGGCGGGTGGGTGCACTCCTCACACACACAGCGCTCTGGCACACGAGTGTTCAGGGCCACAGCAGTTCGCCTAACAGCTTCCAAAACCCATGCCGGGGCCACCTAGGCACCACAGAAAGCACCCCCCAAATTAAGCCACCAGACCCTCCCACAAGCAGACAGGGAAAGGCAAACAACCTGTCCTTTCTGAGCACATCAAACGGCAAATGCACTTTCACAAATTGAAAACTTCATGAAAAATAAAAAATATATACATCAGAAATTGTGACTTACCGCCATCAGACACAGTTGCAGACTGAAAGAAAAGAGAGAGAGACATGAGTTAATTAAGCCTCATGACAAAACTCCGGAAACCAAAATGTCCATCTGAGGAACAAAACGGGCAGACTCTGGGAGTTTCTCAGAGGCACTCTCCAGGTGGAGGTGTCCCAGGAAAGCCAGATGGCCCAGTGAGTCAAGAGTAATGGCTCCCACTCCGCCCAGACTGGGTGACACCCAACAAGAGGAAGTCATCCTTTTCATTTGAAAGGAACAGATCCCAGCATGTCTGACAGTACAGTCTCAGTAACAACATCAATGAAAACAGCTTCACAAACTGCAATAGCATCATGCCCTGGAAGTGACACATGCATCAGGGGCAGCCACCAACAGCCTGTGAGCCTCGATGCCACCCAGTGCCACACTTGCCACTCCTCATGCTCTCCAGCGTGACCGCCCGCCCATGGGGTGGAACCAGGGCCTAGAGAGGCGCAATAACCACTGGGGGTTGTGGCAGAGGAGTCAAGCCCAGAGCCCAGCCCCAGACCTGGTGCCCACCTGCCCAGGCAGGGCAGCGCGAGAGCGGCCACCAGCATGGGGGTTGGGGAGAAGCTTCCGAGGAAGGGGTTGGAGGAGAGCAGAATGGATGACTCGAAGATGCCAGGGGCAAGAACAAACAAGTCAAGTCGCGCAGGAAGGGTGGCAGGCGGTACCGGAAGGCCAGTGTGACCAGGAGGAGGCCGAGAGCTCGAGGCAGTTGGCTGAGCCAGGAGGAAGCTGCAAAGAACAGGAAGCCACAGCAGCCCTGACGGGAGCCCTGAGCAGGGCTACCTGGCATTGCACTGGCAGGAGGGGCCCAGGGCACAGAGCCATCAGGCAGGTGCAGGACAAGCCTGGGACTGAGCCCAGGAGGGAGAGGAATCAGAAGGGGTAGGCTCGTTGGGGACACAGATGCCAGGAGGCGAGAGAGTCTGAGCAGAATGGAGCAGCTCTGCCCCTCCAGCCCCAGAGGCTGGACAAACCCATGTTTAATCCAATCCCTGGAGTGGACACTCTGCTGCCATCTAAGCAGGAACCCCCTCCCTTGGGGGCCTCTTGGACGGCCTAGCAATGACCCATTCCTGTCCTCCTGTCTGCCAAGGTGAGGGCTGCTGGGGCCAGGGGAGCGAACAAGAAGGCCCTGCTGTGATGGGCAACCTGGTTCCTCCTGGCTACCCCAAGAAGTGGAGGTCACCAGGGCTTTAAGACCCCCAGGCCAAAATCCAAACAAATGAGGCCCAGAGGAACCTCCCAAGTGGGAAGGGACCAAGGAAAAGAGCCAGGGCTTCCAGCTGCTGCCCCTGACACAGCCCTCCACGTGCACTGTGTGAGTTTTGACACGAGTGGCACGCCCACTGGAATTCTGCATTTCCTGTCTGACCACCCCATGCTCGGTGCAAGGCCCCAGCCCTGCCTCCCGGCCTGCCACCGAGAGCAACTCTGCCCCCACGCAGCCTGGGCATCCAGGGCCCACTGCCAGCCCTGGCCTGGCAACCTACACCAGCTACGCATCCTTCTCCCCCGCAGAGTCTGTCTCCTGGCACCCAGAGGAAGCCCCTCGACAGGTACTGTGTGAAACCAGCAGGGCCAGCTTCAGAGGGTCCTGCCACCCCGACCCACTTCCCAGTAGTGAAGATACACAGTGGCCTGCATCCACTTCTTCACTTTCCTCTCATTGGCCAAGAAGGGGAAAGAGCACACATCCCTCAAGCCAGCATGCGGCCCTCTGCCCTCAGCCGCAGGGACTGGTTTTTATCAGAGGCTGTGGGGCAGCCATGTCACAGGTGCTGACATGCACACTTTGGAAAGCTGTCATTCCTTCCATGCCCACAATAAATCATCCACAATCATGTTGCAATCTAAATAATATCACAGGCAGGCTGAGTGCAGTGCCTCATGCCTGTAATCCCAGCACTTTGGGAGGCCGAGGTGAGTGGGTCACCTGAGGTCAGGAGTTCAAGACCAGCCTGGCCAACAAGATGAAACCCCATCTCTACTAAAAATATAAAAATTAGCTAGGTGTGGTGGCAGGTGCCTATAATCCCAGCTACTCAGGAGGCTGAGGCAGGAGAATCGCTTCAACCCGGGAGGCAGAGGTTGCAGTGAGCCGAGATCATGCCACTGCACTCCAGCCTGGGTGACAGAGTAAGACTCCGTCTCAAAATAAATAAATAGTATCACAGGCAAACTATACCCTTGAGATTATGAGACGAAAATCCACAAGGCGTACACAAAATCAGAACTGTTGCCAATAATATCTGAAAGCTAAATCATAAAATGTAAACTTCATAAATATGAGGGAGGTGATTCACTTCAAGTCACACTCATGATTAAAACTCAATTCTCAGGTCTGGCAGGCTGAACAAGTGCACTAGAAAACCTCTATACACACAGCATTGACACCTCCCAAATCAACAGCCACTCGAAAACCAGAAGGGAGGGGTGTCCCAGAGCTCAAACAGACTGAAGGATAAGGTGTCCAGGGGGCCAAGGAAGGTGGGTACAGGCCGGCGCTGCTCCTGTGATGGGTGCAGGCTGGGGGCCCGCAGGGCTGGACCAGAGCCTCTGGGAGGCTCCAAGACAGTGCCACCAGTACAGGTAGAGTGTCGAGCTGTTTTGAAAGTAAACTTTATCTTTTCAAACACTTTTAAATTTATACAAAAATTTACTTTAAAGACAGTACAAAGATAAACATGCTTTTTTTTTTCACAGTCTCACTCTGTCACCAGGATGGAGTACAGTAGCACAGTCATGGCTCTCTGCAGCCTCAACCTCCTGGGTTTGAGCAATCCTCCATGTCAACCTCCTAAGTAGCTGGGCTCCAGGCATTTGCCAACGTGCTTGGCTAATTTGTGTATTTTTTGTAGAGATGGGGTCTCACTATGTTGCCCAGGCTGGTCTTGAATTCCTGGGCTCATGTAATCCTCCCACCTTGGCCTCCCAAAGTACTAGGATTACAGGTATGAGCCTCCATGCCCTAGCGAACATGCTTTCTAATATACTGCTACTCCGGAAAGAGGAAAGGGGAATCCCTGAAATGAGAAGAGGAAGAAATAGGAGGGCAGTTAAAAAATGTCAATGCCACCAGGGCCGGTACCCCACAGTGAGCCTTGGCCCTACCATGGTTGTTCCCTCAACCTGAGACCCTCCATCCAATCCGGCCATGGCCCTCAGGGAGCAGTGTTGTCCTGGGTGCCACACTCCTGGAAGCCACACATATTAATGCAAATCCTTCCAGAAAGAAAACAGGGGCTCTCAGGAGTTCCAAAAAGTGAGCCCGCTCAAATATGAGTGCACTATAAAAACCAAGGAGAAGCCCGGCAAGAGTGGGTGTCAGCAGAGAAAATAAGGGGCAGAGTCTCCTACCGGAACGATCTAATGGAGAGTGCTGAATCCCTCTCTGTGAGGCTGTGGAGAAACAAAGGCTGCAACAGAACACAAGCATGGTGCAGATCGGAGAAAGAACCACATGGAACGTCTGACAGTCAAACACAACAGGTGCAGTTAAAGATTCAACAGGAAGCTACACAGAGATTAGGCAGTTGAAGAGAGAATCTGGGAACTGGAAGATGGAACCAAAAACAGTCACAATGACCACAGCACAGAGGGATGGGCAGAGAAGAAAAGGAGGATTAAGAGAGAGCAGCAGAGAACCGAATGGCGGTCTTCCTCAGGATTGGAGATTCAGAAACGACCGGAGCGAACTACTGAAGAGTCACCTACAAACGGTGCTGAGAGCAGGACTAATTTCAGCAGATCCTGTGATGCTGATCTCCCGAGGTGGTCACAGGAATCCAGACACCCACCACAGTGGCTCAGCACAGCATCTAGTTGGCACTCACTGCAGATTTAATTTACTAATCATCCCTGCCACTTCCGCCTATGCTCAGGAGGGGAGTTGAGGAGAAGGCAGAGTGACCAAGGGCTTGTGTCAGCATCAGGAAGGGGAGGGAAGGAGAGGGCACCCTGCAGCTCCTTTCTTCATTTCAAAGAGGGACATTATATCTCTGACAAGAACTTTTAGAAGTTATGTCATCAATGTAAGTGGAAAAAATGCAAAATGATTTCATAGTATAATCACAAATATGTAAATTTTTCTTTAAAATGTAAGATCTGTGAAAACATACTCTCAAATACTAAAAAGACATAATTAGCCACAAAGAAACAGCATCCAAAGCTAACGGCAGTCAACTGCCCTTGAATGGTGAGGTTACGACTCTTTTTTGACAGATAAAACTTTGTGGTGTACAATGGGTGAAGGCACCGGTGCTGGCAGGGAAGCCTCTGGCCTTCACATGCAGGGGGCTGGACCTCAGTTTACACAGTGCACAGCTCTCTCACTCCCAGGTATATTCATTAACAAAAGCAGTAAGATGCATGGTAATTATAAATGATCTCTTTGCAAATTAAGTAATCTTGTCAGGAAAAGTCAAAACCAATTTCTCTGAAAGTATGAAAACTTGAAGAGGACAGGAGTTTGATGTCCAGGTGATATGACTTGGCTGTGTCCCTACCCACAACTCATCCTGGAGTTCCCATAATCCTGTGTCGTGGAAGGGACCTGGTGGGAGGTAACTGAATCATGGAGGTGGTTACCCTCATGCCGTTCTTGTGACAGTGAGTGAGTTCTCGCAAGATCTGATGGTTTTATAAGGGGCTTTTCCCTCTTTTGCTTGGCACTTCTGTCTCTTGCCACCATGTGAAGAAGGACGTGTTTGCTTCCCTTTTCGCCATGGTTGTAAGTTCCCTGAGGCCTCCCCAGCTATACGGAACTGAGTCAATTAAACCCCTTTCCTTTAAAAATTACCCAGTCTCAGGTATTTCTTCACAGCAGTGTGAGAACAGACTAACACAGTACCAGAAGTGGGGTGCTGCTATAAAGATAACGGAACCTGTGGAAGTGACTTTGGAACTAGGTAACAGGCAGAGGTTGGAACTGTTTAGAGGGCTTAGAAGAAGACAGGAAAATATGGGAAACTTTGGAACTTCCTAGAGACT